GGGAATCCTCCCTCCCCCCGCGCCCTGCCTCTTCCAGGACTTACCCCCCTCCTGGCCACAGGGAAGCCGTGATCCAGGTAAGGCATGGGAAATGGAAGGAGCAGGGTTTGGAATTTGGCGCTCCATGCAACGTGGCACCCTAGGTGGCTGCCTAGTTTGCCTATAGGCACGGGCCGCCCCTGCAAATCATCAAAACTAATTATCCAAGAAAAAAACCAGACACCTCATTCCAAAGGTATCTAAGTAACAAGTTCCTCAGAGCTTCAGTCCTGTTATGTGCTACTGCGACAATTGGCCTTAGGGACACTCACTCACAGGTATATGGACTGAAAGCTTTAATAGTAAGGAGTTCCACGTAGTGTCCTGCTGAGTCAGCCAGCCAAATGCAATGATAGCCCTGCCTCAGGCTGTCTATAAAAAGTCCTACTCCCTTTAGCACCAGCTTTGGGGACTGTTACAAGGTATTTCAGATAAGCAAGGCCGTGCTGTCCTATTCCCATCCCTTTTTAGTTTATGGCATAAGAACAGACTGTGAGGCAGGTAGCTATGCTACTGTCAATACCTCCAGGATTTGCTAGGATTCATTACTCCAGTTCAGATGAGATATTCATGGTTCCAATACAACTTATTCAAGAATTTGTTCTGAAAGGAGTACAGTGAGAGAGAGCTGAGGTACCCTTTCCATTCTGCCGCCGCTTTCCCCTATTTGTCTTCAGGAAGAATTATGTTTTGTCTTCAAGTATTAGATTTAGGGGGCAATGCCAAGTGGTCTGCCTTTTACACATATTTTGTTTTGTGGCTTCATTGTTAAGCTTTTAAATGGGAAGCTAGGCCTGGCCTTCCATCCTTCTTTCAGCTGAGGAAATAATGAAGCAACAAAGATGTTTATAAAATGGACTCTGAGCAGATGGGAAATTATACTTGATGTACAGGTATGCGAATAAAGTGGTTTAATGATTTAAGTGGTTTAAGAAACCATTGCTGTGAACTATCACTGGGGATTTGATAAAAGTTTCTTTCACAAGTGCTTTAAGATGTTGCAAAGTACCCAAGGTTTTGCTTATAATAAATTTTCCTCTAGTAAAGTCAAGTGTTTAAGGTAAGGAAAAGAGCAGCTGCAAAAAATTTGTCCATATATTGTCATGCATGACAACTCTGCTCATTGAGAAAAATGATAGACTTAAACAGCAAAGTGCAGGCAGATTCATGTGGGTAAAAAGGATAGCACAGCCCCTCACACTCTTCGGCTTTTACTTGCCAGAACTCTGATGGAGAGGGGCAGGAGGGCAGGTTGTAGAATGGAAACATGCAACATCTCAAAGAACAACAGTGACTGAATGGGTTAGTAACTGTTCTTTCATCTCTGAGTGATTGCACTTGTGGATTCCACTCCTGGTAACTCCCACACCATGACAACAGGAGGTACTGGAATTGGAAAAGGCACAGAAAAAGGAAAAAAAATGTTTAGGGGGTAGGAACAGCCTCCACAGGAGGAAAGACTAATAAGACTTGAGACTTTCCATCTTGGAAAAGAGACAGAGGTCAATATAATCATGACTGGTGTGGAGAAAGTAAATAAATAAATTATTTCTCACAATACAAGACCTAGAGCTCACCACATTAAATTAATAGGCAGCAATGCCCCACAGCGAGCTGGGGTTCCTCCTCCTGCAGAGCCACGAGGGCAGCCTGCACAAATGGCACCAGG